CTACTTCGCGGAATTTCATTTATCACGGTAGGGTCTAGAACCTATTAACCGCGATAAACGAGGGTTCACTGTATTCTGGTTGGGATAGCAACCTGATACTCAGTTCTGCTCACCAAGACTTCACCAGCGCCCACACCAATCAAAAAGGAACTGTTCCGACACTGCCCAACTACATCGGTGTCGCCTGCAGCCCAGCTCACCGGGCAAGGGCTACAACCCGTTCCTGCCCCGTCTGACCAATGGTAACTAGTGGCCAACACCAGCCTCCACCCTCAATCACTCTACACGAACAGCAGACAGAGAACAGTGCACACACTCTCACCCTCTAACTCCCACCCGGAGACCGCTGATGAGAGCCTGTCTGTTCACTGCCAAGCTAGCAAACAGATAGCTCATCTCCCCTATCTTCGCAGGTATATCAAAACGAAATAAAGCAAAAACAGAAGAAGATGAAACTGAGCAAAACACACCCACGTCCAATCGCCAATTAAATAGAAATTTATCAAGACCACACTGTCTCGGTGATAATAGGGAGCCTCATTCACGTGAATAAGACAGAATGATTCAAACAACTGACCCAAAACACAGGGCCAGAAAACATTTCTGGGGGAAGTCACGGCATCGGAATTACCAAATAAGGAATTCAAAAGAATGATACTTAGATATTTTTACGATATGGGGGGGGGGATCAAGGTGAAGAAAACGATCATGGGAAATGGAAACAAAACTCTAAAAATTTTCATGAAAAGACTACAAGAACAAATTGACAAAATATATGAAAAGCGAAAACATAAAAAACAATAAATAGAAATTCATGTGATTAATACTAAGACTTCAGAAGGAGATCACACACTGAAAAGGCAAAGAACAGAACTGAATCAATGCAAGACAGATTTAGTAAGATGGAAGACAAATCTGTCAATACTAATCTGATAATGTTTCCCAAAGTGAGCAATACCATCCCCTGGTTGGTGCTGGAAGAATCCAGGGAGGCAAAAGTTGCAAGATCAGATACCTACACTGCATCATGGACTATGGACTCCAGTACTAAAGCTTTGACTTTCCAACAGGGCGCTGAGTAATTTTTTTTTCCTGAAAAAGGGAGACAGGCCAAATAAGTTTAGGAACCTATGGGTCAGGAAAAAAAGAATAAAAATTAATAGAAGGAAGCTTAACAGTTATGTGCGACACCATCAAGAGGAATAATTTACATGTAATTGAATTTCCAGAACAGGAAGAGAGAAAAAAGCACAAAGAAACCTGTGAAAGATTTGTTGGAAGAAAACTTCTCTTTTACTATGAGAGACAAGATGATATATATTCAAGGAGCTTAAAAGAACCAAAGAAAATCAAGATAGATCACAAACTTCCAAGACCAGTGACAAAGAATCTTGAAAGCATGGCATGAAAAAAAACAGTCACTTACAAAGGAGAACCAGTAAGGCTACACGGTGACTTCTCAGCGAAAATCATTCCTGAAGAAGGCACTGGAACAACATACACAAAACCTTGAAAGAAGAAAAACTGTCAAGCGAGAATTGCCAACCACCGTACCTAACAAAACTGTTCCTCAAATATGACAATAAAATAAGGGCATCTCCAAATACCTATATACTCGAGTATAAGCCGACCTGAATATCAGCCGAGGCACCGGTGAAGAAAGCTGATGGTCCCCGGCTATCAAAAGATATATAGTCTGGGGTCCTATAGGCTGGAATATAAAAACAAGGGGCCATCTAACTGAGAAACAACAAAGCCCACATGGAAGAAGCACACCAGCCTGTGAGATCACAAGGCGTC